GGTTCACAAGGAAAACAGTAGCTCAAGGTTGGAATTTCTGGAACTCCCTTATGTGCAAGACAAGTCTTATTTCCCCACATAGGCTATGATGTTCCTAAAACATTTTCCTCTTCAGAACCTGCTGTATAATTCAAGCATCCCAAGGCAATGATTGGTGAAGGGAGGAGTAGCTGAACACAGGGTCAGAATTCTTAACTCATTTCTAAGACTTTTGCCTGAAATTTGTGATTCATCCTAATATGTATGTTCTCAGAGCTAAGGGGCCCACTCCTCCATACAGATGGCCATCATCTACACAATTTTTGTTCCTTGGGAGCTCAAACAAGAGGCCTCAGAGTTTAGGCTTTCAAAGCTAACAAATAGAAAAAAACAAATACCACCTCCCCTTCTCACCCCACCCCCAAAAAAGGTACCATTAAATCTCTCCATGGGCTAATGTACATGAATTGACTCGTGACTCTCTTAAGTCAGTCTTCAAACTCAAGCATGTAATATGTGGGAAGTAAACATATTAACCTCCATTCAGGACTTTTGTTCAGTAATTCATACATTAAGGTGCCCCATATCTATGATGTGGATTAACAGACAAAAGAAAAAAGACTCCTTCCACTGGGTCATATACCTGGGATATGACAAAGAGACTTCCTAGTCTCCATACTTAATGAGCATTGCCTACTCCTAGTGATTCAACTGAAGGGAAGCAGAAGAAACCTAGAAAGCAAAAGCATTGCTAGAGATGGTGAAGTACAGAGTAAGAAACTGAAGACTTTAAGGGGACAAGTGATTTTTTTTTATCACTGCTATTGCTTGAAGATAAGCCTTTCTGATGAGAAAAAAAAAGCTTTAAGAAGTGAACAGTTGGTTAAGAAGATAATACCTGAGAATAAGATTTGGATTTCTGGAATATGGTTTTAAGTTCAAGAATGTCAGGTTCTTGGCCAAGCACCTAACAAGGGCTATTAAAAATGTATTTGTCTAAAGTCTTGAAAATCTTATCAAAAGGGCTTGAAATTGAAAAGAAAAGCAAAGGGAAAAAAATTAACCATAGAGAGTACAACACAGGCAGTTAAGTGACCCAATTGATAGAGCACTGGACCTGAAATTAGGAAGACCTAAGTTCAAATCCAGCCTCAGATCAAACTAGCTGTATGACCCTAGGCAAGTTACTTAACTGTCTGCCTCAGTGTCCTCAACTGTAAAATGAGATAATGATGGCATCTACTTTTTAGGGTTGTTGTGAGGATCAAATGAGATAATATTTGTAAAGAGCTTAGCATAACACCTGGCACATAGTAAGCACTACATAAATGTTAGCTATTATTATTATTACCTGGAGTCAGAAAAACCTGAGTTCAAATCTATCTTCAGATACTTACTAGCTTTATGACTCTGGGCTAGCCACTTAACTTCTGTTTGCCTCAGTTTCCTCAACTGTAAACTGGGGAAAATAATAGCATCTATCTCCCAGGGTTTTTGTGAGGATCAAATGAGATAATAATTGTAAAGCAGCACAATTTCTGGAACATAGTAAATGTTATATAAATGCTAGCTATTTATTATTATTATTATTATTAACATAGGAAGAATAAAATTAGTAGAGATGACCAGTAATCCAAGAGAGACAATATAAAAAAGAAAGCCAACAATAAAATTCATTGCCTTGGATGCTTATATACACATACACAAAGTATAAGTAATAAGATGAACTAAAGATCATAACACAGAGAGGAAAAGTCTCTCTCATAGAAATCACAGTAGCCAAGGTGGCATATGCCTCTAATCCCTGATGCAGCAGAACCTGGGGATATTGGCTCACCTGGGCTCTGGTCTTCTCAGTTGTAGTAGGGTTAAAAGCAATTGGATGTCCATACTAAGTCTGGCAGCAATATAACGAACCCCTTGGATTGGAAGGCTACAAGGCTGCCTAAGAAGAGATGAACCAGCCTGCATAAAATCAGGATAAGTTAAAGTTTCCACGATAATTAGTATTGGGATTGAGCCCATAATCAGCCTCTGCATTGTTAGCCTGAGAGGAAGAGCAAGAAGACCAGCATTATTGGATCTTAGAATATATGGAGGAGAATAAGGTATAAGAAGACTGAAAAAGAAGGAGAAGGCCAGCTTACAAAGACCTTTAAAAACCAAACAGAGGATTTCATATTTGGTCCTGGAGGCAATAGAAAACCATTGGAGTTTATTAAATTGGAAAGCGGGAATAGAAAGGGGTGAGATGTGTGACAAAGTCAGACCTGCACTTAAGGAAGATAACATGTTGAGTGGAGGATAAATTGGAAGGGAGGGAGACTTGAGGAAGGGGGAACAACCAGCAGGTTGTACCAAGATGGTAGTAGTGTCAGAGGATAGAAAGGGATGAATATGAAAAACATTTGGTTTTTTGTTTTCTTTTTTAGGCAATTGAGGTTAAATGACTTGCACACAGGGTCACAGAGCCAGTAAGTATCTCAGGCTGGATTTGAACTCAGGTCCTTCTGACTCTAAGACCAGTGCTCTATCCACTGTGCCACCTAGTCACCCTGAGAAACGTTTTGAAGGTAAAAACAACAGAATTTGACAACTGATTAGATGTGGAGGTGAGGGGGAGGTGAAAGAGAATGAACTGAGGATGGCACCTAGATTCTGAGATTGGGTGACTGGGAAGATGGTGTCCTTGATAGTAATATGGAAGTTCAAAAGAGGGGAAAGGTTTGGAGGGAAAGAGAATGAATTTGGCTTTGAACACACTGAGTTTAAGATGTCTACAGGATAACTAGTTCAAGATGTCCAATAGGCAGTTGGTGATGTGAAGAGAGATTAGGGCTAGGCAAACATATCTGAGAATCATCTACATAGAGATGATAATTAAATCCATGGGAGGTGATGAGATTACCATGTGAAATAACATATAGGGAGAAGAGGGCCCAGGACAGACCCTTGAAAGACATCCCCAGCTAGCAGGTATGTGGATGAAGAGCCAGCAAAGAGGCCTGAGAAGGAACTGTCAGACAAGAGGGTCATGAAAACCTAGAGAGACAAGACAATCAAGGAGAAGAGGGTGATTGACAGTGCCAAAGCCTGAAAGAGGTCAAGGACAATGAAGATTGAGAAAATATCACTAGATTTGACAATTAAGAGATCACTGGTAACTTTGGAGAGAGCCATTTCAGTTGAATGCAATCAGAAGCCAGACTGCAGAGTTAAGAAGAGAGTTAGAGGAAAGAAAGTATAGGCACCAATTGTAGACAGTCTTCTCAAGGAATTTAGCAAAAAATAGGGGAGAGATTTAGAACAATAGATAGCAAGGATGGGAGAAGGGGGAGGAAAAGGGATAAGCACTTATATAGTGCCTACTATGTTCCAGACACTGTCCTAAGTACTTTTTCCAAATATCTCATTTGATCCCCACAACTACCCTGAGAGGTAGGTGCTTTATTAACCCCATTTTTACAGTTGAGGAAACTGAGGTAAACAGAGGTTAAGTGATATGTCCAAGGTCACAACATGGTCATGTTTGTAGGAGTAAAGGGGCAGCCAATAATCAAGGAAAGATTAAAGATTATTAAGAGAGTAGGAATAACAGTGGAAGCAATCTGATGGAGAAGATGGGGTGGAATTGAATCACTTGTGCATTTAGTATCATGACTATGTTCCTTTGCCTAATTATAGTAGGTATGGTTTTGGTAGCTAAGCAAAATGAACTGGCTTCATAGCAGACCACAGATTGTCAGGAAACTGCACAACTGCTTTATTGTGTATGATTTTATTGCATGGATTAATTCAATGCTTAGAGTAAAATACTGTGTTCAGTACCCAAGAAGGCCTTTCCTTTCCTATGGGACACCAAACTCATTATGCCAAAGTCACATGACTAGAACTCAGTGAAATATAGCAAGTTCAAAAAAGGAAATGGGTTTTTCTATAGGATGGGGACTCAAGAGCCAATTCTGATGGGAGCAAATCCACATTAACCCACACTTCAATGACAAGTCAGTATGGCCATACAGAGAGAAGTGAAGCTGGAGAGCAGATGATCACAGACTTTCCAAGAACCACAAAGATCTTAGCACTTCTCCCTAATGAGTTGGAGTCCCGTAACTGCCAGAATGAGGATGGAATTGGACGAATGCTTGAGGCTTCTTGTTGAGCAGGACCAGGATAGTGGCTAACAGTGCCACCTTCTGGCTAAATATAGAAGACAGAATCAAACACAGAATCAAACTATGTATAGAAAAGAGTAACAATGCGTCATAAGAATAGTATCAGAATGACCAACATTATAGATTTAGCTCTTCTCAGCAATACAATGAACTAAGACAATTCCAAAAGACTCACAGTGGAAAATGCTGTGCACATCCAGAGAAAGAACTATGGAGTCTAAATGCAGATGAAAGCATACTATTTTCTCTCTCCCTTTTTTTCTTTTTTTTTTCTTTCTCATGGTTTTTCTCTTTGGTTATAATTCTTCTTTACAACATGACTAATGTGGAAATATGTTTAATATGATTGTACATGTATAGCCTATATCAGATTGCACGCTGTCTTGGGGAGGGGAAAGGGAAAGAGGGGGAGAAAACTTTAAACTCAAAATGTTATAAAAGTGAATGTTGAAAATGAAAACTAAATAAATATTAAAAAAAAGAATAGTATCAGAAGAGCTAAGCCTCAGAATGAGTATACAGTGGCAATAAATGCTAAGAACAGCAAAGGAGATTTTTTTTTAATCTATACTGAGGGGGCAGCTAGGTGGTGCAATGGATAGAGCTCTGGCCTTGGAGTCAAGAGGACCTGAGTTCAAATATGGTCTCAGACCAGACGCTTGACACTGACTAGATGTGTAACCCTGGGCAAGTCACTTAACCCCAATTGCCTTGCAAAAAAAATCAAATCAAATCAAATCTATACTGAGGACAAGAGGGAGATAAAAAAAAAAGGAGATAGGAGTATGTATTCAGGAAGGATGGGATGAAATAGATAGATAATAGGGAGAAGGAAGCACTACTTACCTCTTATTTTACTTTTGTTTTCTTTACCAGGAAAATGACCTCTACAATGGAAAGGAGAAAACACAAATAGTTAACAAGGAGTTAAAACTAAGGGTAAGTGGTGAAATAGTAAGAGTTTAAGTCACCAGTTCTAGTTAGGTATATTCTAGGATATCAAAAGAACTGGCAGATGTGTTTGCCGAGCCATTGTTGCTTATCTTTAAAAGATCTTAGAGAATTGGAGATTCTGATTTTCAAATAAAGGAAAGATAGTGGTATCTACAAACTATCAGTCAATAAGCTCAATTTAGATTCCTAATAAAATTCTAGGAAATATTATTAAAATATATGGAAAGAAAAGCAGAGTCACTAATAGCCATGAACTTTTTCTTTCATTTTATTTTTAATTTATGGAATAAAACATATTTCTATAACATAGTATAATAAGAAAAGATGACTGTATATGAAACCATAAATCTGTTATGTACAGCTTGCTATTCCTTTCATATACTTAACAAAATTATCATGTAAATTTTTTTCTTACCTTCTCACCCCCCACCCTAGAGATGGCTACCATTAGACAAAAATAGGTGTGTATGCATATTCATATGCATATATACACACATGTGCATCCATACACACATGTGTATGTGTATATGTGTATATGTGTATACATATGTGTGTATACACACCTATATACACATACACATGTGTGTATATGTATGTATGTATAAATGTAAAGTTATTCTGTACATACTTCTATTTATCATACTTCTATTTATCAGTTCTTTCTCTGGACACAGATAGTGTCTTTCTTCATATGTCCTTTATAGTTAACTTTGGTATTTATAAAAGTCAAAATAATTTATTTGCTCAAGGTTGTTCTTAAAACAATATTGCTGTTACTGTATACAATGTTCTCTTGGTTTGGCTCATTTCAAACTTCTTCAAGAACAGGCCATAGCAGACTAATTTCATTTCCTTTTTTGATAGGGTTTGAGAGCTTCTATTATTTACAATTTTAATTGTATATTTTATATTGAATTTAACACAATAGTACCAGAAATTCCCTGCTTGTCTGTGTTCCTTTCTGAATATTTGCTTAATGTTCAAATGACCCCCATTTTTTCCTCTTTTTTGGGAGGCCATCATCACTGCAACTCATTCTTCTCACATCTGCACCCCACCCCCAACAATAGAAACCCTCTCTTGTAACAAATAACCACAGATAAGCAAGTAAAAAAATTCACATTGACCGTGTATTTAAATACACGTCTCATCCTGAATCTCTAGGCCATCACGTCTCTGCTAAGGGATGAAAAGCCTGCTCCACCATCATTCTTATGAAGAGGATACCCTTGATCAGGGTCTTGGTAGATAACAAGGCTTTTGCAAGTGATGGTCAACAATGGACCACATCTATAGCATTTCATAACTGAATAAAAGTGTTAGCATAAAATCCTACAGTGCTTATTGTTTGTTGGGTATGGAAAAATATTTGAATCAGTCAAGCAAAATGTTACCTTTCCTGCTCATTTTCCTTTTCTTAAGTCTGGGTGTGCCTGTTTTATTCAGGCTAGAAGTATAAGAACTACTCACAGGTCTGATGGGCATGGGAGCTTTGATCTGCTCCATTTCTGATGAGCCAATTCTCCCTCTGCCCCAAACTTCAAAATCATACCTTCTCTATTATTGGCTCATCCTGGAACTTCCTGCAGGGCCTGGGGACTCCTTGCCCTGGAATGGCTGCTTTCATTCTCCTCCAAGCCCTGTTCTGAACTTTCTGCCCTGCAAAACTGTGCCCTCTTTCTTGTATCTTCCTCCTCCTCCTCACCCTGCATTCCCATCCTCACTGCTTTTCCATTTTGTATATTGTCTTTCCCCATTAGAATGTAAACTCCTTGAAGGCAGGGAATGTCTTTCTTTTTGCTTATATTTGTATTCTCAGCATTTAATAGAGTACCTGGCAAATGACTTCCTCTCTTTTTCTTTCCTTCCTTCCTTCCTTTCTCCCTCTCTCCTCTCCTTTTTTCCTCCCTTCTTTCCTTCTTTCCTCCCTTCTCTCCTTCCTTCCTTCCTTCTTTTCCCTCTTTAGACAGAATGGTGTACTTCCCACTCTGGAGAGGCTTACCATACTAGTGCCACACTTATGGCAGATACCTGATCAGCTTTAACCTTACTATAGCTCAGAGCTTGAGGTCAAGAAATCCACTGGGCTCACTCAGCCTCCACAGTAGGTAGCATGGATTATATGTATACACCATCACACCCAATTTAGTTTCTTTTTCTTCCAGATTTCTCCTGTCCATATTTTATACAATCAGGATGCCTTGAAAAATATAACAGAAATAAACCTGCTCATTGACCCTTTTATTATAAGCATTAAGGAAAGAATATTGGGAGCTGTATGCTTACCAAAGGTATTCACCATTATGATAGAGAAGTTCCAGCGTGGAGTCAAAGTTGAGGATGAAGTCTTTCAGATGCTCCTGGTTAAAGATGAAATTATGGTATTGGCATTAATCCCTAGAGGCCTAGAACATTGCAGAGCCTCCTGGAAAAGATCTGATATTAGTCAAAATAATTTGGCCTCACCATCCACACGAGAAAGATCAAGCGGATGAAGACTATCTATTGCCCAGATTATGACACACATTTATCCATTTGTTTGTGTATCTTGTACAAACAGTACAAATGGACAATGAGTCGAGCAAGAGGAAGATAACATTCCTGGACTGCATTCAGGAAATTGCAAAGCTTCTTCAACAACCCCAAATTTCCCATAAAAGCAAGGGTCCCTATTTCTAATACCAGCATTTTACAGTTGTTTCTGCATGGCAGTGAAATATGGAATAAAATAGTCTCTGAAGAATTAAAAATGAATATCAGAGAGGGCAATGAAAAAGCACTTGGTGGGTACAAGCAGGATGTAGCATATAACCAGTACATGGTTTCATAGATAATCCTCTTTTTTGTGTTCTACTTTGCATATGGAAGGCAACTAGGTGGTGCAGTGGATAGAATGCCAGGCCTGGAGTCAGGAAGACAACCTCCTGAGTTCACATCTAGCCTCAGACATTCCCTAGCTAGGTGACTCTGTGCAAGTCACTTAACTCTGTTTGCCTCAGTTTCCTCACCTGTAAGGAAATGGCAAACTACTCCAGTATCTTTGCCAAGAAAACGCCAAATGGGGTTGTGAAGAATTGGACACAATTAATTGGCTAAACAACAACAAATGCATATGGAAATGCTTTGGATTGGAGTGGGGGTAGGGTAGATATGTTTAAGTTCAATTTGTTTTTTTAAATTTAAGTTGAAAAGAATATGTAGCCAGATTATTGTTCATCCTTCATTCTCAAAAAGGACCAATGACATTGGGAGGGTGATGTCTTGACTTGCAAGTGAATTGGATTTAAGTGAGGCAGAGCTGTGCAAAGTCATCAGCCTCCCTCTCGTCTCCAGGGTCATTGGAGTCCAATGGCAAAACATAGGTCAAGATTCTTTATGTCACGAGTGATGAACTTCGAAGGAAAAAAAATAAATGATATCATCAAGGAATTGTATGATTAGAAAAAAGAATGGTTAGTTATTTAGAGAGGGTGAGGCATGACAGATGGACAGCCAGAGTGCTCTCCCAGTACCCTAGTGAGATCAGGAGAAAGCAAAGAAAACTTCCAGCATGTTGGGTGAACTGTTGGGAAGACGCAGACACAAGTCACATCATACCAGCAAGCGTAAATGGGTTACGATGTCATCAGCAGAGAGAATTCCAAGGTGACAAGAGCAGAGATTCATTTGAATGTGGCCTTTTATTCAGCCTTTCAACTAGATGCTAGTCCATCAAGGACACTGTTGTTGGCTGGGAGCAGGGGGTGGAGGGGGCCAGGAAGCATCTATATAGTGCCTACTGTTTGTTGAGCACTATGCTAAGTGCTTTACAAATACTATCTCATTTGATCCTCACAACCACACTGAGAGGTAGATGCTTTATAATCCCCATAGTTGAGCAAACTGGGGCAGACAGGTTAAGTAATTTGCCCAGGTTCACACAGTATCTGAAGCCAAATTTGAACTCAGGTTTCCTTGACTACAAGCCCAGCCTTTTATCCACTGTACCACCTAGTTGCCTCTAGACAGCTATTGAATACATAAAATATACATGGGATTAGAAAGAAACCAATTATATTGAAATATAGTTATCGGAACTTTTTTAAAACAAGGTTTTGGTTAAGAACCCCAGGTATAGAAGGAGCCAGATGCGGACTGGGGGGAAGGGGAGAGAGGTATGATTTGAGGTCAGTGTTCTGGTCAGTTCCTTCTGCACAGCCAAAGAACCCAGCAGAGGGCCTTGTCCAGTCTTAAGTTTTTCAGTGTTATAGAGTGTTTAGCTCAGGAACAGAAGCCAAGCAAGCTGCTTCCTATGCTCCCCAGCATACGACACTGAGGGACATTGAATGAAGAGAGTGGAAAGAGGTCTGGATGATTAAGAGGCAGATTTAGGCTTGATGTAAGGAGTACTTTCCTAACAAGCTGTCCAGATATGGAAGGTTTTCATCAAGAGATAGTACATTTGGAGGTTTTAAAGTGGAAGCTGGGTGTTAGAGATGAGTGGCAGGGGCAGCTAGATGGAGCACAGGCCCTGGAGTCAGGAGGACCTGAGTTCAAATCTGGCCTCAGACAGACACTGACTAGCTGTGTGACCCTGGGCAAGTCACTTAATCCCAATTGCCTCAGAGAGAGAGAGATGAGTGGCAGTCTGCCATAGTGACCACCACATCTGGACTTGAAGTCAAGAAGACCTGGGTTCATATCCTACCTTAGACATTTATATGCTATGTGACCCTGGTCCACCTCTGTGCCTCAGTTTCCTCTTATGTAAAATGACTTGGTGGCCTTGAAGATCCCTTCCACCTCTGAATCTCTGGCTCTAAGGACAGGGTGTTGTTGAAGGAATTCTTGTTTTGGTATTCAGAGGTGGGGAACCTGTGCCCTCGAGGCCATGTGTGGCCTTTTAGGTCCTCAAGTGTGGCCTTTTGACCTAATCCAAAATTCACAGAACAAATCCCCTTAATAAAATAGATGTGGACTGGATAGATGTGAAGTTTGGATGTAACAAATAAAAAAGCTTGGGCTTAGCATTGCCAGGGATAGGCCGTACCCAAGGAAGGGAGGTAATATGGTTCAGTAGAAAGAGCAGGTGCTCTGGAGTCAAAACACCTGGGTTCAAACGTCACTCCTGACTCTTGCTACCTGGGTAACCTTGGACAAGTCACTAGCTTCAGTTTGTTCATCTGTAAAAAGGGGCTGGGGGGTGAGGTTAGCTACATTACCTCTATGATTCATCCCACTTCCAAGTCTATGTTTCTCTATACTCAGATGCCCAAGTCAAGTCCTGTGTAGGTACGTCCTCCCAAGGAGTGGATTATATTTTGTGATATAGCTGGAAGTTCACTGGTTCTGAAGTCAAAGGACCTAGATTCTAATCCTGCCTCTCACTACTACTTGTATAACCTCGGGCAAACCATGGGGTCTCAGTTTCCTCATCTGTAAAATGAGAGGATTAGCCTAAACAGTCTCTAAAGTCCCTTTTAGCTTCAGAGCTCTGAACCTATGATCATCATTGGTCCCATTCCATTCCCAGAGATGGATATCACAAGGAGTGGGCAGGTCTCTTAGCTCACTTATGCCTTTTCACACCTGGGAAATGGTGTGGGCTGAGGCTATTATGCCTGAAGTTATTCAGGCAATTTGAAAGGGTCAGAATGGAAGGGCCTGGGGTGTTGATATCATGTTAAATTAATAACAATAATAATAATTCTGCACACTTACAAAGCAACCTTTGTCTGAGTGCCACAAAGGCGTTCTGAGTGGCGTAATTGGGAGCCTTTCACTAGAATATCATTGTTTAACATTAGTGCTGGTGCATATGGAGGGGAAGAAGGTCCTTATCCAGGCAGAGCATGATGGGAAGACAGCAAGAGTTATGCCTCTGAATGCTAAGATGGGAGATCCTTGGGCAGAAGCTTACTTATCGTTTATGAGAACTAAGGGCTCTAGAGCATCTCTGATTGTGCTAATATCAATAATAATAATAGCAATTATATCATGCTTTAAGGATTGCAAAGTACTTTACACATGTTATCTTATTTGATCCTCACAACAGCCCTGAGAGGGAGGTACTATTATTATCCCCATTTCACAGAAGAGGAAACTGAGGCAGACCTAGGTGAAATGACTTGCCCAAGGTCACAGAGCTAAGAAATGTCTGAAGTCGGATTTGAACTCGTCTTCCTGACTCCAAGCCCAACGCTCTGTCCAGTGCCGCCTTAGGTGCCTCTTCAATTAAGTAAACCACAGAATCTCAGAATGGGAAGGACCCTTCAGGTTATTGTATTAAACCCCAATCTGAAAGATGAGTCTTCTCAACAAAATCCCTGACAACTGGCTCTTAGCTTTGGCTTGATATAAAGCAATATGCAGCTAGATGGCACAGTGGATAGAGCTGCCCTTTAGGTGGGCACTTAATAATGCTTATTCTCTTCCCTTTAGGGCCAACTTCTATGGCGTCACTACTTTCAAATTTTTTCCTTCTAGTATCTTCTACTTGATAACCATTACTTGCCTTACCATTCCTAATGAAACTTTTAGATGCAACTTGGTGGCACAGTGGATGGAGCACTGGGCTTGGAATCAGGAAAACTCATCTTCATGAGTTCAAATCTAGACTCAGACATTTACTAGCTGTGTGGCCCTGGGCAAGTCACTTAACCCTATTGGCCTCAGTTTCCTCATCTGTAAAATGAATTGGAGAAGGAAATAAGAAACTACTCCAGTGTCTTAACCAAGAAAACCTCAAATGGGCTCACAAAGGACTGGACACGATTAAAAAGACGACTGAACAATAAGGTGGCACTGTGGATAGGGAACCAGGCCTAGACTCGGAGAGACTTGAGTTCAAAAGCAGATTCAGATGCTTACTAGCTAGATGGTCACTTTAATCTGTCTGCCTCAGTTTCCTCAACTGTAAAACAGTATAATAATAGTACTTGTTGTGAGGAACAAATGAGATCATCTTTGTAAAGCATTTAGTGTTGTGCCAGACACATAGTACTTAATAAATTTGCTCTCACTTTTCCTACCTCTCCTTTTTAGATTGACTTCCCTCAGACAGCAGCACTAAAGTTGCTCCCACTTGTCGTTTCCATGCACACCCTACCCATCTCATTTCTTATCATCAAAAACCCCAGAAAGGGAAGCTAGGTGACGCAGTAGATAGAGCACAGGCCCTGAAGTCAGGAGGACCTGAGTTCAAATCCGGCCTCAGACCAAACACTTGACACTTACTAGCTGTGTGACCCTGGGCAAGTCACTTAATCCCAATTACCAAAAACAAAAAACAAAAAAACAGAAGAAATATCTATTATTCCTTCACCTAACGATTGTCCATAAATCCCCCATACAATTGCCTGCTTCATGGGTATACATGGCT